TCACTCCTCTTCCTATACGCTTTTAGAATCTGTCAGCTCTAACTAATATGAAACTCTCAGAACCAAGTTATATACTGTACATGGACTGCGATAGCTAAGTTTCTGTGACTGTGACTTCGTCCGAGCTTATCTGTACATCTAAATTCGGTTGCTTGTTGAGATGCTCCAATCATTTGTGCAACAGATCTGAAGACCATTTGAATGGCTTCGAGCCCCACTCAAGGTGGCTTCGGCATCATTGTGTCGGATCCTCACCACTCGAAAATCTACAATTTTTGGGTCCTTCTCGTCAGCATCTAACCTTAGTTTTAGTTCTTTTTCAGCTTCTCGTCTTTTTATACTGTCCGCCAGCGTCAAGAGTTTACGAATGAAAACTCTTGACTCTTTTGCTTATCTGTGGTAATAAGCTTTTTCATCAGGAGATTTAAGTACTACTTTTATCAGCTTGGTTTGGTTCTGTTTCAAATTCGTTTGGCTGTCTAGTCTACAAACGTTTAGCAAGGTGGCTTCGGAGATATCCTCAGGCATTAACCGGTTTGGTTGCTGTTTAATCAACTCAATATAATGCTCAAAACAAGTTCTGAGTTTTCATTCTCGCTGAAAGACAGGTGACCTGTCACTGTGACCAGTCCTCGACTTTTCGGCTTCTTTTTGGAGAACTGACTTTTCTTTGGCAACTCGAGGTTGCTTCCTGTTCTTGATTTGCACACATTTTATCATTTTCCATTGGAGTAGCAAACACGGTTGCACCACACACACACACACACTGTTAGATCCTGGATGATTATCGATGACGTGGTTGGCATTCGCCATAGTAGTGACTTCGGATAACAAGCCGTTTGCATCCGAGCGGCACTTCTGACAAGGCCACACGCAACTATTTTTGCCAGCCCGCCTAAAAGACTCACGAAAACTTAGTGAAACAATCGTTCGAATTCATTTCACTGCAAGCCACTTTCTACAGAGTATCAATAGACTGGCTGTTGGCAATCGCTTTTCAAGCACTGTACAGTTTTCATTTGTAGGTTTTCAGAGGAAAGTCGACACGCAAACTTTACAACGACCGGAGCAACTGATGACCAGATAAAGTGGAAAACTGTAAATTGCTAGAACCAAAATAATAAATGTACTCAAAAGTGTTGATGACAAATTACTTACGGGAAGAACAATACTCCTGACGAATAATTTATTTGAAATAAAATCGATTATGTTGAAAACAGAAGTTTTGATGCTAAATTCACGATCAAAATAAAATCAACCAAGATAGGAGAAACACCAATGTCTTTCATCCAGTAAAACACTAACATTTGTCACGATAACATAGCTTGACTGAGACTGAACTCTGAACATAAGAATATTCACCAATAACTAATAGGGTTGGCGAAAATTGTCCAGATTCCAATGTAAACACACGACCTTGACTGGTAAGTAGGATAATTTCTAACGGAACAAAGTGTAAACACAACTTATATTCTTTAACAGTAGTTAAATGCTAGAAGTCATTGTCGGCTGAGCTAGCCTAAGCGACTTCACAGGAGTCCTTCAAGAGAAAACGTGACATATTCTTAAGGAGTAAGGATGGTATCGTACTATGAGTTACCAATTTCTTTTTCCTCTTTTATCGATAATATACCTAGTTTCCTGCCTGGAGGTAATAGTTATCCACTACTACTAGACACGGAAGCCCGTTAAGCGAAACCTACTTTTATTCTTCAGCAGCACAACACCGAACTCGTATTCCGTCCAAAACCATCTGTTCAATTTAACCACTTAGCGCGTGGTCTGTCTGTTTGCGCTACCAAGTGGGTTAATTTGTTTCTTATTCGTAAAACCTGAAGTGTGGTTGGAGTGTATGCATTAATAAAATTCAAATAGACAGGTGTCAAGTGGAACATTATAAGGAATACGACGCTACAGTTCATTTGCCATGTTATATCTGCAATTTCACTGTTCCCGAGCTCCCAATTTTGGGGAAAATTTGACCCATTTTGGGGAAATTTTGGGAAATCCGCCGTAGCAAACTTAGGGGGAATGGCACAAAACCTCAAAATTTTCCTATAATCTTATTGCACTTTGGGGAAGTGGGCTTATTATTTATTGATAAAACCCCAAAATTGTGAAAAATTTTAGGGAAATCTTGAGTTTCCCCCAAAAATTTCCTCTGACTTTGGGATTTTTCACCGAAATGTCCCCTGTATTTTGTGTTTTTTCTCAAATTTTCCTCTAACTTTGGGGTTTTTCCCCAAAATTTACCTTGAAGTTTGCGCTTTTCCTCAAAATTTCATCATAATCTTATAACAGTTTTTGAAAACTCGTTTTCACGCAATACTTCTTCGAAAATTTCTACGGAAATCACGGAAAAGTCAGGCAAAAATACATATGTACAGTTTTCACTGCGATGTTACTTTATTTTTGTCAATTACGCAGTGCCAAAGAAATTTAACGTTAACCGATCTATCGCTGTAATTAAAAGACTGATTCGTAACACATAGAAACGTTTATTACGGTTACTAAAATTGCAAATCATTGACTTATACAAGGTTCCTTTATTGCTTTGTAACATGAGCAGGTTACGTAGACGTTGAACTATCATTCACAATGTTCTACAGAAATAAAAAAATATTTTTGGTTTCTAAGCAAATGTCAAGATATGTAAAACGTCAATGACGTACCAACGGTATAACAATGTTGTTATTAATGCGAACAAAGAACTTACAGTTACGTCTGTTAAAGCTTGCGAAGCGAGCTGAAAGCAAGACGAACAAGAAATATCTTTTTACTGACAAGAAAAAAGTATCAGTATAAATATTGATCACAAAGTAATATTTAAAGTGCAATATGTATTATACCAAACATGTAAAGTGCTTTTAGCTCACCCTTTCTTTGGATCGCCATCCACGCTTACTTACTTTTTCTCTTGCGTCGTGCAAGAAAGCCTGGTTTGCAACATCCATGACGTGTATTACTTCTTTTTCTGGACAGGTTGCACTTCGGAATCGGGAACACAGAACACTTACAAATATATTAATACAGTAGTGTGGACGTACTTTGAACCGTCCGGTAAAATTTGTTCTTACTAACACCAAATTTACTTTCGTTCCGTGTAAAGTTTACGTGTTCGCCAGTTCCGGCGACTTAGACAGGCTTTTACTGATTTGGGAGGGTCATCACATATGAACTCGTACAATCTGGCCACCTAAAATTTGTTCAAACACATGTTACAACTTACGAGCTGATCACAGAACTTTAGTTCATCTAAAGCAACTTCAAAAGAACACAACTCCTCATGCATTCCTAAGGGGGAAGCAATAGTTGAATTATCTACTTGCTCGCCCCCGAATGCCCTGGTACGGCCGAGAGTGGGGTGAGTCCGCTCTCCCTCTCGAAATACTCTCACACGGCCACGCGTATACAGCCTCTGCCAGGGAAGTCCTACTCATTGCCTTCTCGTGGCGGGGGTGTTGTTTACGAAAATGAGAGGACGAAATGCGAATGTCCGGCGCTTTAACCGGATTCCAAATCAATGGTGCACATGGGCTCCAGTATCCTGCGGGAACAAATGGCGTATGAACCAATCTTTGGTCACCGGCTACCATGGGATTGCATCTCCTTACGATGCTCCACTGCCTTGTGGGTTAGACCTTTAGATCAAAGGCTCGGGGAGTGGCCCCCTAAGATAACCACTTGCTTCGGTTTGGGCACCCGGGCAGTATCACAGCCCTCACACAAACGATGAACTCTATGTCTATGGCAACTACTTTTCTCGCTCCGAAAAACAATCAATCGATTCAAATAATTATCATTACTATTATTGTCATTATTAATACTATTATTATTACTATTATTGTCATTATTATTATTATTATTATTATTATTATTTTCCACATTATTCACCCTCTTTTATACTTATACAGCGGCTCGTCTTTGGTGGAAATTCGACTGTATCTAAACGTTCTCGAGTCACTGTCCGGTTGAAAATTGTATGTTACCATCGAATATGAGTACTGAAGCAGTTTTTCTGAAACCACGTGCGCCATTCAAACTGGCTGCCTTCAACGTTCGCACACTTATGCAGGTTGGTCAACAGATAGGGCTGGCTATGTCTTTGGAAAGTCTTAATATCGATGTCTGCTGTCTATCCGAGACCCGTATTCAAGACTCTGGTGAAGTACTACAAATTCGCTCTCCATCTGTCACTTCAAAAAGCTTGTTTTATGTGCGCTTATCCGGGGACCCTGTGGCATCTTCGTCTGGTCTTGCTGGCGTTGGTGTCGCACTAAACCTAGAGCTGAGGCAGCACTAATCGATTGGATCCCCATTAACAGTCGGTTATGTGCTGTTAGATTAGAAAGTTCCATCAGAGTGAGGAGAAATCGGCGTGAGAAACGATATCTTTTCGTCATCTCCGCCTATGCCCCTACAGATTGCAGCCCGGATGCAATCAAGGATGAATTTTACCACCAGTTAACTGTTCTTCTCCAGAAAGTGCGTTCGACAGATATTGTAGTACTAACCGGAGACTTGAATGCTCAGGTCGGGCGTCTAGGCACAGAAGAGAGTCGTTTAGGTGGCCGATGGGGACTTGTTGGTCGCAGGTCAGATAACGGGGACCGTCTACTGCAACTTTGCACAGACCACAACCTGTTTCTGGCTAGCACTAACTTTCGGCACAGTCATCGCCGATGTGCCACCTGGCGTCCTCCCTCTGCATCCCAAGCCTGGACTCAGATTGATCACATCGCGATCAGCTACCGCTGGCGTGGTTGTGTAAAAGACTGCCGCTCCTTTTGGAGTACCTATCTGGACTCTGACCATGCCTTGGTCTGCGCCAATCTTGCCTTACTTTTCAGTGGACAACGAAGTGACCACCACCAAAAGATTGGTGTTAGCAAGCTGGTTGCAACTTCTGTTGCAAGTAAGTATCGAACCGAGCTAGCCTCTAGGCTAGCTACCATTCCACCGAAAGTATAGATGAGCATTGGTTGCAATTGCATGACGCCATGAAAATGGCGGGAACAGTCAGTTGTGGGTTTGCGAAGCATCCCGCTTTTAAGCACTGGGTTTCTTCTGGTTCCTTGCAACTCATTGAAGCCCATCGGTCTACTCCGGGTGACCGTGAGTTTGACCATAAACGAAGGATGTTACGTGAGGAAATTGGGCAAAGCTTGCGTAAGGACCGAGAAGCCTGGTGGTCGATGCGTGCTAATGAGCTGGAAGCAGCAGCTGCATCTGGTAACTGCCGGAAGCTCTTCCAGCTCATCCGAGCCACTGGCAGCAAGAAGTCTGGTGTGAGTGAAACAATCTGCGAGGATGATGGGATGTCAATCACTAACATCCATCGACGTCTTGGACGGTGGGCAGAATTTTTCGAAGGGCAGTTCAACTGGCCTGCTGCTCCGGCAACATCGGTCAGACTGTCCTGCCCTCCACGGCCGGTGACGACTGATCCACCAAACGAGGAGGAAGTCCGCAAGGAACTCCAACTCTTGAAGCGCTACAAATCACCTGGCCCAGATGACTTACCTCCGGCTCTTTTTAAAGATGGTGGTGACTTTCTGACTAAGGAATTGACGACGTTGTTTACCAAGGTTTGGGAACTAGAGAGTGTACCAACGTCATGGAATGAGTCGATAGTTGTCTCTATCTTTAAAAAGGGTTCACGTCGTTCCTGTAACAACTATCGGGGGATAAGTCTACTTCCGACTGTGTCCAAGCTATTGGCTTCCGTCATACTTCGTAGGTTGTTCAAAACCCGAGAATGATTGACTCGCGAGGAGCAGGCTGGGTTTCGTTCCGGTCGAGGATGTACTGACTATATCTTCACCCTCCGCCAAATGTTAGAACACCTCCATACTTATCAAAGGCCAACAATCGTAGTGTTTCTTGTCATCAGGGCTGTCTTCGATTTGTTGGACAGGACTGTTCTCTGGGATTGTCTATTGAAGAAGGGTGTGTCTGAGAAGTTTATTAGCATCCTAAAGTCCCTATATACAAACACCTCAGGCAGAGTGAGGGCATACAACCACCTCTCTCCATTGTTCCATTCGAGCAGTGGGGTTAGGCAGGGTTGCCCAATCTTACCATTCCTCTTCAACTTTGCCATCGATGACATTCTGGAAACAGCTCTGATGGATGTAAGTAATGGTTGTGTGGATCTGTTGCCTGGAGAAAGACTTCTCGACCTTGAGTATGCGGATGATATTGTCTTACTGTGCGTGATGTCAGTCTGGCTGTAAAAGGTCGGATCTACAACGCGTCGGTGAGAGCAGTTCTGCTCTATGCTTGTGAAACCTGGCCTCTCCGAGTTGAGGACGTTAGACGACTCTCTGTGTTCGATCATCGCTGTCTCCGAAGGATTGCTGACATTCAGTGGCAACACCATGTCAGTAATGCAGAGGTTCGGCATCGTGTGTTCGGGCACAAAGATGATAACTCAATTGGTGTCACCATCTTGAAACACTGACTTCGGTGGCTTGGACATGTTCTCCGAATGTCGTCCCAGAGAATTCCACGTCGTGCATTATTTGCCGTCTCTGGGACTGGTTGGAAGAAGCGGAGAGGTGGTCAGTGCATGACATGGTGTCGTGGCATGAAAGAAAGCTGCAAAGGACTGGCTTGTGTCGGTTTTTCACGACTCCATGGTTGGGGTCCGAGAGATGGTGCTACACAGTGGCTAGAGACGTTATCAGATATGGCTCAGAATAGAAGCCAGTGGCGATCATGCTGTAACCTTCTTTTACTTTCTTCATAGAAAGTGGTTGTGTCTCCCTTACCTGAAAGATTTCTTCCGATTGTACCTTTGCGTTCCCTGATTACTAGCACATTACCTTACACCAATCTCTTCGTTATTGTTCTCTCTTTTTTTGTGCTCCTTAGCTTCTTTTTTTTTCTTTCTTTGTATTCCTCTTCGAATATTCATTGTTCTGTGTGGCGCATATATATTGGCGCTCTCTTGTACCAATATTCATGTGTCCAAATAAATAAATAAATAATCTACTTGCTCAGTACGCCTGTCCATTACACCAATGGATAAGCGTTCATCTAGAGCGATCAGTTTGTCCATCTTGCTAGACAGTTCAGTGACTTTTCAGAATCAGAATCATTATTCTCTGATATATCTAATGATACGTACCCACTATATACATCGCTTCGAATATTTATTCTATATCTACTAATTAAACGTGAAACGTGTCACAACAGCTGTTTTTATTTGAGAAGCTCTTAAAGTCATGATTTTTAGAAAAAGGTACTGTTAACAGTATGGCAGTATTGCCATATATATGCGTACGAACACTGTCAATGGTAATCGATATACCAATCCTACGAGTTTTCTTTGATTTGATGTTTATACTGAAATTTTCTACAGAACTCGTTATTGGTAAGCTTACAGACTGTTACTCCGTCATAAGATACATTTACTACGTAGCGAACCCGTACGGGTTAATTAACGATAGTATTCAAAACCTGAACTAAGGAAGCCTAATCTGTAACTGTGTTTGGAGGTTCAGTTTACTGACCATTAGAAAATAGCTTCAACTTGTACGTTGTGTTAGCACTTAACTAAGACCGGAACTCAAACAGTAATAGCAGTTTTCAACTAAGTTGTACTGCTTTTACTTTTCAGAGCTGACTGACATTACTTAGTTTATATGTACAAATTGGGAATTAGTATTATAATCTGCTAATTATCGTGATCATTTGCGTTGTAGTTGTTGACACAAAAAGGTTCGTCGTCGTTTGGTCTTCAATATTAGTATGCTACGATCATCTTTTCTTTGTAATTCAAAAAAATGGAATCTACTGCAAAGACTTGTTCATTCAGAAGCTATCACTTATACTGAGCATGGCGATCCAGAACAGGTTTTACGTTTCTCATCCACTCCAGTACATCCGTTTGCAAATGACGAGGTTTTGGTAAAAGTTTACGCGGCCCCTATTAATCCATCGGACATCAACACAATACAAGGTACTTATCCAATCAAACCAAAACTACCTGCTGTTGCTGGGAATGAAGGTGCGGGTAAAGTAAGCATGATTATTACTCTGTGAGTAGTATGTTACCAACAATAAATGATAATTTGTGTGTTTTAGTTTCCATCAAATCCTGTTTCTATTATCAACCTATTACAACGTCTATTCTACTTTGACTTATCGAGAAGTCATTTTACATGATTTTAGCTAGTATAATTAATTTGCCGGGTGCAAACTTATTTAGTTAACTTTAAACCACACTTTGACGGCTAGAAATTTTGTCAGACCACCAAAAATCATAGTAGGAAAACCAACGATCAAATCAGTACATACTTGGCACGTACATTTACCACCAAATCACCATTCTACTCAAAACCCATAATATTCTATTGGGTTTTGGTGTCAAACATTTAAAAGGTTAATTTACTGACATTTCGTCCTTCAACTGTGTTCATAAGTGCAGCTTTAAGTTAGGCACACTTTAGTGTTCAATCTATGGCTAATTGCTTTTAGAACTGAAACATATGTCACCGGTAGAGCAGTCTATAATTCAAATAATGTAGCTAAGCTCTCCTGCTGTTCAATTCCGGTTGGAACCACAATGGACTTTGGAAATGAAGTATCCATTTGAAACTTTTCCGATGAATTTTTGTGGAAATAGTGTTCATGTTTCATTGTCTCATGTCGCCTAGCATATTTAGTAGGTTTATAGTCAGTTTTGTAGTTATAAGCATACTATCCCATCTGTTTAAACTGTTGCTTATAAGCAATGCAGTGTTAATGTTAGTTAGCTTTGGTTTGAGCACCCGGGCAGTACCCCAGCCCTCACACAAATCGAATGATTTGTGGCGCATATATATTTGGTACCTCCTTGTACCAATGTTCATGTGTTTAAATAAATAAGTATATAATATAAACAAACGTGTTGATAAAAGTGACTAAATATATCACATAATAATGAGTTAGAAACAGTTACTTGAGTGGATTTACGTAAGATGCCTTGGAAGGTTTCAGTAAACAACAGTTTTTTGGCATTTACTTCGGCGTAAAAACAGCCACGAATTTTTGTATACTCGGTACTAAAGGCTGGAAACATGTTTACAAAAAACCAATAAATTTCCACCTGTTTTAATGTCACAGTTAAAACCACTAATGTTATTTATTGTCATATCAGATTATTGCGTGTGGGAAGAACGTGGATGGTTTCTCCGTAGGCGATACAGTTATTCCTTTGGAATTAGCGTCAGGGACATGGCAAACATACTGGTGTGGTAAAGCTGACAGTTTCTTGAAGATAAAACATCCCATCCCGATATCTTATGCTGCAACATTAGCAATTAATCCTAGCACTGCACTTCATTTACTCAATAATTTTGTAGAACTTCAAAAGGGGGATACTTTAATTCAAAATGGTGCGACTAGTGCTGTTGGAATATATGTGATCCAAATAGCAAAAATATTAGGACTTAATACAGGTGAGAGTTTTATTTATTTTATCAACTTATCTTGACACTGCCTTCATATTTTATGTGTTTAGTGAACCTGTTTCGTGAAAGAGATACACCTGAAGCCACAGAAGAAACACGTAGTCTTCTTAAAAGTTATGGAGGTACATGGTGTCTCACAGAGTCTGAATACATGGAACGAGCAAAAGAAATAGGCCCTTTCAAACTTGCATTAAACTGCTTAGGGGGGAAACCTGCATCGATCTTGGTGAAAAACCTAAGTCATTCCGGGACTATGGTTACATACGGTGGAATGACACGGAATCCAATGCCCTTACCTGTTGGTCCATTCATTTTTAAGGATATCAGTTTACGCGGTTTTTGGCTGTCTAATTTTAATCTACATCAGTCCACTTCAAAAAGACAACTTACTATCGACCAATTATCAAAATGGTTTTCTGAAGATCTCATTAGACCCTCACCATTTGAAGAAATTCCTTTCAAAGAATGGCGTAGGGCGTTACATATGTCATTATTCAGTGATTCAGCACCAACAAGTATTAGAAAAAAGTCTGTTTTGATTATGGAATGATGTACTAATTTCTATTGTAAATTACTGTGTAAATTGTATTATTACTGAGTTAGTTGATGTTTTGCTTTTTTATCTCCAGAACTTAAAATTCCTACTGTTTAGATCATACTTATACACCGACTTGTAATTACCATTCTACAAATATTTTGACTTTATTTCAAGAAAATAATTTTCAAGATCACCTTTTTTGTACCTTTACATCTGTATAGTATACTGATTAGCGTATAAAGTATATATTGGACTAAGGATTTTGGTTCGTTAATTTAGAGTTTTTTATCAACCAAAATAACATTTGTTGCCTTCAAAGTGTTTATATTCATTGTTGTTTCAAGTCAAAAAAACATTGGTTAGCTCTAGGTTTTGACCGAAGTTTATTGGCCAATATATATATATAATATATATCAGGTGACTTATTACATGTCAACTTCGTATATTATTTAGGCGGCGGATAGTAATGTTATTATGACTTTTTTTCTTATTGGGAACTAATAAGTATTTGAAAAAAACAAGAATGGCCATATTTTCAGAATACTATAAATCCACTGTATTTTGTTGCTTTTTTCTTCGTCTGCATGCGGACTAACTCACTGGATTGTGAGTTAAACTCACACGTCTTTTTTTTGCCAGAGTTCCTATAAATCTTTTTTATCTTAAATATCCTCGAACTATCACCCGAAGTATTTATAAAAATCCTATTAATACGTTAATTCTTAACATCTTTCACATTTCGAGCAACTTATTTGTTATCAATTGACAATCCACTTTTCAACATTTTGTTAATAGTCGAAAACAATTGAACTTATTAACTTGTATGTAGCTTAAGATAAGGCAACGAAATATGATAAATTCCTCGCCTTCTCCCAAGATCGTTGTTTTTACTTTGTTTAAATTTGTACAGCGAATCAATTGCTTAAAATCAGTTGTTGTTTTCTCGTTGAGAAACTGATTTCAAAACCCCCCACTTCCGAGTTTGAGATCACTATGGAGCGAGTTAATTATTTATTTTAGTCACCTCTTCTGACAGAACTTATTAGTTATTATCAGAGCTTTTTGTGATGATTTTGAATTTCACTGCCGACCAACACCCTATAAACACCATAGTATAGTTGATGACACTGTTACGACGCTCATGTTCAGTTTACCACTGGAGACGTATTGGTTTTTTCAGCATAGTTCCGACCGTAAAGTAACAAACTTGATCGACAATAACCTAGTTTATACCATTTCAGCATAAATTATTTCTAAATTAAACCTTTGCTGATAAATGCCGACTGGTACGAAGTGTGTATTCAGGGCTTTCTGGCGGTTGCTTCCAAACGCTCAAATATTGAATGCTGTAACTGATGATTGAATGATTAGCTTTTTTATACAAATGATAGAAGTTTCTGGTTATATTTCAAAGTATACTATAGAGTGAGGGTGGTTTAAGACTAGTTTTTCGATGACATAACTGGTGAAAAGTAATTTGAAGTTGAGTGTTCAGATGATAAGTATTGCACAGTAAGGTTGAGTCCCTCGAGTTCTTTTTCTTTTGATGTTCGTTGTTTTGAAGTTCTTCGTTCAACAGACAATGTTTTCATAAAATTGGAAGGTGAAAGTAATTTCGAGGATCTGATTTTACGTAGACTTTTAGTTCACGGGCTAGTGTTATAAAAATCCAACCTCAGTTTCTTAAATATATTTTTAATAATTTACTGTTTGTGTAAGACGACAAATTGGCAGACAATATACATAGATGCAACAACATATAAACTGTAGAAGCTTTTTAGACCACTATATCTCTTGTCAGTGGTTAAGTTGAAACTTCACGAAGCGTTAAAGAGAACCTAATGCGCTTCAAAACTCATTCCTTGTACTATGTTGAACAGGTTATATCCTACTGAAGAGGACATTCAGTCAGTCCTTTGACTTTTTCAGCTCAAACGCACCATAGAATGCACATAGACTAGCCTACAAAATCCTACTATCTCTGGTCTGTTTTGCTTCATAGTATATTTACATTTGCATCTTAATTTATATCATATCATATTAGCGACCAACGGAATACAAATGAATTATCTTAGATAAATAGATTCTCAAAGGATGTAAAAGAATAAATCATGGTATGTTTGCAAGAATATATCGAAATAGTAGTATTAAAGTTTCGATAAGATACAGGTTATTACTCGTTCCCAAGTGCGTGGTTTTATAAATAGTATGATGCAACTTGAGCTACTTAATAACAACAAGTAGTATGGCTTGACACACAAACTTAATTTCCTCCCAAGTTGTGTGCCCTGTTTTTATTGAATTTAGTACTCACTCCAATCTACTTTCAACTTCTCATAGACTACTGAACATTTCGATAAGCTCGGGAAAATAAAGCCAGTTCAGAAAGAACTTTTATTTTGATAATAGGTTCCTGTGATTTCTTGACGCATTGCTTACACATCTTCAACACTAAAAATTCAAAACTACCTTGGTGGTTGTTCAACGCAGATACCATAATGCTTCTTGTGCTACAGTTCATATACAAAAATTTTCTTACCCGCTTTACATTTTATCATTATTTTCGACTAATATTGATTGTAGATTTTTTACTTAAGTAAAAACACACTTTCATGTCATACTTACTGAGTATCTTTCTCATTTCTTCTGACATTTCTTTATGATGAAGGGATACCATAGACGTTAATCTATGTTTTATAAGTACTTAATTGCCCTAAGTATAGATTTGTCCAATTACATATATTATCATTTCTCTACTGTTTACAAAAAGATGGCTAACTACTTGTTAAAAACTTCTGAGTCTGTTACATTAGTATTTAAGATGATGATGATTCTGAAGGACATTGTGGATCACTCGGCTCGTGTGTCGATGAAGAGTGCAGCCAACTGTGTTTATTTATATATTTATTTGGACACATGAATATTGGTACAAGAGAGCGCCAATATATATGCGCCACACAGAACAATGAATATTCGAAGAGGAATACAAAGAAAGAAAAAAAAAGAAGCTAAGGAGCACAAAAAAAGAGAGAACAATAACGAAGAGATTGGTGTAAGGTAATGTGCTAGTAATCAGGGAACGCAAAGGTACAATCGGAAGAAATCTTTCAGGTAAGGGAGACACAACCACTTTCTATGAAGAAAGTAAAAGAAGGTTACAGCATGATCGCCACTGGCTTCTATTCTGAGCCATATCTGATAACGTCTCTAGCCACTGTGTAGCACCATCTCTCGGACCCCAACCATGGAGTCGTGAAAAACCGACACAAGCCAGTCCTTTGCAGCTTTCTTTCATGCCACGACACCATGTCATGCACTGACCACCTCTCCGCTTCTTCCAACCAGTCCCAGAGACGGCAAATAATGCACGACGTGGAATTCTCTGGGACGACATTCGGAGAACATGTCCAAGCCACCGAAGTCAGTGTTTCAAGATGGTGACACCAATTGAGTTATCATCTTTGTGCCCGAACACACGATGCCGAACCTCTGCATTACTGACATGGTGTTGCCACTGAATGTCAGCAATCCTTCGGAGACAGCGATGATCGAACACAGAGAGTCGTCTAACGTCCTCAACTCGGAGAGGCCAGGTTTCACAAGCATAGAGCAGAACTGCTCTCACCGACGCGTTGTAGATCCGACCTTTTACAGCCAGACTGACATCACGAAGGCACCAAAGATGGCCCAGATTGGCATAAGCCGCTCTGGCTTTCACTACACGTACATTGATCTCATCACTCACACCCCCACCAGCACTTATGCAGCTACCCAGATACACGAACTTCTCGACTACGTCTATCTGCTCACCATCCAGGGTGAGTACAGGATTAGAATCCTGCCAGTCTTGTAGAAGTACTTTGCACTTCGAAGGTGCAAAGCACATACCATACCTACGGACACTGATTGCCAACTGATTAAGTGCGGATTGCATGGCTTGGGCATTATCGCACAGTAAGACAATATCATCCGCATACTCAAGGTCGAGAAGTCTTTCTCCAGGCAACAGATCCACACAACCATTACTTACATCCATCAGAGCTGTTTCCAGAATGTCATCGATGGCAAAGTTGAAGAGGAATGTTAAGATTGGGCAACCCTGCCTAACCCCACTGCTCGAATGGAACAATGGAGAGAGGTGGTTGTATGCCCTCACTCTGCCTGAGGTGTTTGTATATAGGGCTTTTAGGATGTTAATAAACTTCTCAGGCACACCCTTCTTCAATAGACAATCCCAGAGAACAGTCCTATCCAACGAATCGAAGACAGCCCTGATGTCAAGAAACACTACGATTGTTGGCCTTCGAAAAGTATGGCGGTGTTCTAACATTTGGCGGAGGGTGAAGATATGATCAATACATCCTGGACCAGAACGAAACCCAGCCTGCTCCTCGCGAGTCAATCTTTCTCGAGTTTTGAACAACCTACGAAGTATGACGGAAGCCAATAGCTTGGACACAGTCGGAAGTAGACTTATCCCCCGATAGTTGTTACAGGAACGACGTGAACCCTTTTTAAAGATAGAGACAACTATCGACTCATTCCATGACGTTGGTACACTCTCTAGTTCCCAAACCTTGGTAAACAACGTCGTCAATTCCTTAGTCAGAAAGTCACCACCATCTTTAAAAAGAGCCGGAGGTAAGTCATCTGGGCCAGGTGATTTGTAGCGCTTCAAGAGTTGGAGTTCCTTGCGGACTTCCTCCTCGTTTGGTGGATCAGTCGTCACCGGCCGTGGAGGGCAGGACAGTCTGACCGATGTTGCCGGAGCAGCAGGCCAGTTGAACTGCCCTTCGAAAAATTCTGCCCACCGTCCAAGACGTCGATGGATGTTAGTGATTGACATCCCATCATCCTCGCAGATTGTTTCACTCACACCAGACTTCTTGCTGCCAGTGGCTCGGATGAGCTGGAAGAGCTTCCGGCAGTTACCAGATGCAGCTGCTGCTTCCAGCTCATTAGCACGCATCGACCACCAGGCTTCTCGGTCCTTACGCAAGCTTTGCCCAATTTCCTCACGTAACATCCTTCGTTTATGGTCAAACTCACGGTCACCCGGAGTAGACCGATGGGCTTCAATGAGTTGCAAGGAACCAGAAGAAACCCAGTGCTTAAAAGCGGGATGCTTCGCAAACCCACAACTGACTGTTCCCGCCATTTTCATGGCGTCATGCAATTGCAACCAATGCTCATCTATACTTTCGGTGGAATGGTAGCTAGCCTAGAGGCTAGCTCGGTTCGATACTTACTTGCAACAGAAGTTGCAACCAGCTTGCTAACACCAATCTTTTGGTGGTGGTCACTTCGTTGTCCACTGAAAAGTAAGGCAAGATTGGCGCAGACCAAGGCATGGTCAGAGTCCAGATAGGTACTCCAAAAGGAGCGGCAGTCTTTTACACAACCACGCCAGCGGTAGCTGATCGCGATGTGATCAATCTGAGTCCAGGCTTGGGATGCAGAGGGAGGACGCCAGGTGGCACATCGGCGATGACTGTGCCGAAAGTTAGTGCTAGCCAGAAACAGGTTGTGGTCTGTGCAAAGTTGCAGTAGACGGTCCCCGTTATCTGACCTGCGACCAACAAGTCCCCATCGGCCACCTAAACGACTCTCTTCTGTGCCTAGACGCCCGACCTGAGCATTCAAGTCTCCGGTTAGTACTACAATATCTGTCGAACGCACTTTCTGGAGAAGAACAGTTAACTGGTGGTAAAATTCATCCTTGATTGCATCCGGGCTGCAATCTGTAGGGGCATAGGCGGAGATGACGAAAAGACGTCGTTTCTCACGCCGATTTCTTCTCACTTTGATGGAACTTTCTAATCTAACAGCACATAACCGACTGTTAATGGGGATCCAATCGATTAGTGCTGCCTCAGCTCTAGCGCTTAGTGCGACACCAACACCAGCAAGACCAGACGAAGATGCCACAGGGTCCCCGGATAAGCGCACATAAAACAAGCTTTTTGAAGTGACAGATGGAGAGCGAATTTGTAGTACTTCACCAGAGTCTTGAATACGGGTCTCGGATAGACAGCAGACATCGATATTAAGACTTTCCAAAGACATAGCCAGCCCTATCTGTTGACCAACCTGCATAAGTGTGCGAACGTTGAAGGCAGCCAGTTTGAATGGCGCACGTGGTTTCAGAAAAACTGCTTCAGTACTCATATTCGATGGTAACATACAATTTTCAACCGGACAGTGACTCGAGAACGTTTAGATACAGTCGAATTTCCACCAAAGACGAGCCGCTGTATAAGTATAAAAGAGGGTGAATAATGTGGAAAATAATAATAATAATAATAATAATAATGACAATAATAGTAATAATAATAGTATTAATAATGACAATAATAGTAATGATAATTATTTGAATCGATTGTTTTTCGGAGCGAGAAAAGTAGTTGCCATAGACATAGAGTTCATCGTTTGTGTGAGGGCTGTGATACTGCCCGGGTGCCCAAACCGAAGCAAGTGGTTATCTTAGGGGGCCACTCCCCGAGCCTTTGATCTAAAGGTCTAACCCACAAGGCAGTGGAGCATCGTAAGGAGATGCAATCCCATGGTAGCCGGTGACCAAAGATTGGTTCATACGCCATTTGTTCCCGCAGGATACTGGAGCCCATGTGCACCATTGATTTGGAATCCGGTTAAAGCGCCGGACATTCGCATTTCGTCCTCTCATTTTCGTAAACAACACCCCCGCCACGAGAAGGCAATGAGTAGGACTTCCCTGGCAGAGGCTGTATACGCGTGGCCGTGTGAGAGTATTTTGAGAGGGAGAGCGGACTCTCCCCACTCTCGGCCGTACCAGGGCATTCGGGGGCCAACTGTGTTAATTAATGTGAACTGCATACTGCTTTGAACATCGACATCTTGAACGCATATTGCGGCTACGGGATATCCTGTGGCCGCGCCTGTCAGAGGGTCGGCTTTTCTGGACGAAACTATATGGGCACTTTGTTAGATTCATCAAAACAAACATTTGCACCTACTTGCATGGATAAAGGTGTCGCTAGTGCATTGAATCTCTTACGTGGTCGAAAATCTTGGTGTGATCCACACAGAGGTTATCAAGCTCGTGGCCTTCATCATTTTCACCATCTGCGTCATCATCGTCGTGGCGGCGGCAGTACCACTGGCATATCAATGACTACTCGGTCAGCTTCGGCAGCGGCAGCCGCTGCATCACAAGACTCAAGAGAGGGGAGTGTAGATTCGAAAGACCAGTCTGTTAATGATCCTTATTCAACTGAGTGTATTGACCAACCGTATGTACCTGTAGAGACAAGTTATAGCAAGAAGTCTGGCAATGTTGCATCACATGATATCCCCCAACATGGAGCTAAAGGACGTAGACGTCGTGGCACTGGTCGAAGACCAGTTCGTCCTACTGGTGTAGTCTCTCCATCTCTTGAATGTTCTATGAACACATCTTTGCCCGAAACTAAACAAACCCTCAACGATGATGCAGATAACCAAGTAAACGTTTTGTCAGATGTTTCATCTTCAAAATCCGATTGTAAATTACCACTCAGTTGTCCATTCAATGGCTGTGAAAAGCGTTTTGCCGATATTCTTAGTATGCGTTTTCATTTCACAATGGGACATCATAACATTCAAACCGTAGAAATGAAAAATAGGAGAGAATCTCTTGCTGAGCCTGTTATTGATCAGGTTAGATGGATAAAAAGTGAAGATTTTGATAATAATCTTGAAATATCTGTTTGTGATATCTCTGCTAATTCATCTCCTCCACCGAAACTAGCAAGAGCACATTGTACCAAAGATAGAAGTAGTGACAGTAACGAAACAAGTTTAGTTTTAACAAATGGTGATGATATTGATGATAATATTGATCCACCGAAACTACATCGTGTTGTATCAATATCTGATTCTTTTTCTAATGCAAATCCACTTATTGATCCAGGTGACTCAAACTCATCGAAGTTTGATAATAATCACCATACAACAGATGTTCTTGACGAACCTCCTACTGCTAGTCCTGCATATTCTGATATCTCTGATGACGGTACTGTATCATCTACAACTAATAATTTCCCAGTTTTAAACTTGGGAATGGCAGCAATTGATGTTCAGAATTCCAGAGAAGGAATATTGAATTCTTCATCAATTTTATCAAATCTTTCTAATCAACCACCCTTACCTCAAGGATACATTGATGTTTCCAGACGCTTAAATCTATCTCCACTTATATTGTCTTCATGTTCTACCGTTACTGGATCTAGTGAACCGACCAAATTATATTTTCCTGCTAATTTGTTTTCTCCAACTCTAAAAGGTGTAAGCAATATCTTCTATCAAACTGCATCTCCAACTATTAAATCCATGGACAAACAGAGTGCAGAAAGTGGATTAAAACCGATTAGAAATAATAATTCCCCTACAACTTATCCTTTTCAGAAAGAATCGCCTTCCAGATCCCTGATAACCAACAATAACAATCATAATACTAGTTGTAGAAGTAATCCATCAGTATTACATGATTTATCAAGTTCTCAGTCGTCCCCTTCTAATAGTGCTCCGCTAATTCCACCATCAAATCATGATAATTCCCGACAGCTGACTTTTCTCTCCGTTTCTCCCGGATTAGTTATGACAGCAAAATTCACGTCCATCGTCCACAGGATCATTTGTATCAAATCCTCTTACTTTTTGTGTTTCACGAAATTCTCCAGTTCCACCACGACCCGGTTTATCCGATCAAGGATTACTATCATCGCATAATAATCACCATCCATTTTATCAGCATCATCAGCCTTCTGCACTGTCTAAATCTTATGAATAAACAATTAGACACATGTCTATGTCTATTATTCAATACACAAATGTATATTTCAACATTGTACAAATGAATGAGCCATATACACAACTTACTACTGGCGTTTACAGTACTTGTGTACGAGGCGATAGCTTGATCTTATCCGATGGAGAATCATTAGAGTTGTTATTTCTCTATGTGTATCTAATTTATATTTTATTATTCACCCTATTTCTCATCACATATTTTTTACTATCCTGACAAGAAACAACCAAATCCCATCCCCGTCGCCAATTGTTATGACCTTGGATGTCTAGTTTTTCTATCACTCGATTTATCTACCAATCCGAATACGACTTATACGAATCTTCACACTAGGCCAACCAATGGCGTTCAACCGGTGTGGACAGTTTAGCGTCCTTATTGGTCCTATGTCCTACGAGCCCTTCCACTTGAGTCCAGAACAAGATACCAGCTTCCGAATCAGAGCAGATCGTTTATTTCAGGCATACTTGGTTTATATATCAATCACACAGACCGCAACGTACCATAAAATAGGAAGCCCCCCTGAATGCCCTGGTACGGCCGAGAGTGGGGAGAGTCCGCTCTCCCTCTCAAAATACTCTCACACGGCCACGCGTATACAGCCTCTGCCAGGGAAGTCCTACTCATTGCCTTCTCGTGGCGGAGGTGTTGTTTACGAAAATGAGAGGACGAAAAGCGAATGTCCGGCGCTTTAACCGGATTCCAAATCAATGGTGCACATGGGCTCCAGTATCCTGCGGGAACAAATGGCGTATGAACCAATCTTTGGTCACCGGCTACCATGGGATTGCATCTCCTTACGATGCTCCACTGCCTTGTGGGTTAGACCTTTAGGTCAAAGGCTCGGGGAGTGGCCCCCTAAGATAACCACTTGCTTCGGTTTGGGCACCCGGGCAGTATCACAGCCCACACACAAATTGATGAACTCTTTATGCCTATGGAAATTACCTTTCTCACTTTGAAAAACAAACAATTGATTCAGATTATTATCATTACAATTATTGTCATTATTAATACTAATATTATTATTACTACTATTATTGTCATTATTATTATTATTATCATTATTATTTTCCACATTATTCACCCTCTTTTATACTTATACAGCGGCTCGTCTTTGGTGGAAATTCGACTGTATCTAAACGTTCTCGAGTCACTGTCCGGTTGAAAATTGTATGTTACCATCGAATATGAGTACTGAAGCAGTTTTTCTGAAACCACGTGCGCCATTCAAACTGGCTGCCTTCAACGTTCGCACACTTATGCAGGTTGGTCAACAGATAGGGCTGGCTATGTCTTTGGAAAGTCTTAATATCGATGTCTGCTGTCTATCCGAGACCCGTATTCAAGACTCTGGTGAAGTACTACAAATTCGCTCTCCATCTGTCACTTCAAAAAGCTTGTTTTATGTGCGCTTATCCGGGGACCCTGTGGCATCTTCGTCTGGTCTTGCTGGTGTTGGTGTCGCACTAAGCGCTAGAGCTGAGGCAGCACTAATCGATTGGATCCCCATTAACAGTCGGTTATGTGCTGTTAGATTAGAAAGTTCCATCAAAGTGAGAAGAAATCGGCGTGAGAAACGACGTCTTTTCGTCATCTCCGCCTATGCCCCTACAGATTGCAGCCCGGATGCAATCAAGGATGAATTTTACCACCAGTTAACTGTTCTTCTCCAGAAAGTGCGTTCGACAGATATTGTAGTACTAACCGGAGACTTGAATGCTCAGGTCGGGCGTCTAGGCACAGAAGAGAGTCGTTTAGGTGGCCGATGGGGACTTGTTGGTCGCAGGTCAGATAACGGGGACCGTCTACTGCAACTTTGCACAGACCACAACCTGTTTCTGGCTAGCACTAACTTTCGGCACAGTCATCGCCGATGTGCCACCTGGCGTCCTCCCTCTGCATCCCAAGCCTGGACTCAGATTGATCACATCGCGATCAGCTACCGCTGGCGTGGTTGTGTAAAAGACTGCCGCTCCTTTTGGAGTACCTATCTGGACTCTGACCATGCCTTGGTCTGCGCCAATCTTGCCTTACTTTTCAGTGGACAACGAAGTGACCACCACCAAAAGATTGGTGTTAGCAAGCTGGTTGCAACTTCTGTTGCAAGTAAGTATCGAACCGAGCTAGCCTCTAGGCTAGCTACCATTCCACCGAAAGTATAGATGAGCATTGGTTGCAATTGCATGACGCCATGAAAATGGCGGGAACAGTCAGTTGTGGGTTTGCGAAGCATCCCGCTTTTAAGCACTGGGTTTCTTCTGGTTCCTTGCAACTCATTGAAGCCCATCGGTCTACTCCGGGTGACCGTGAGTTTGACCATAAACGAAGGATGTTACGTGAGGAAATTGGGCAAAGCTTGCGTAAGGACCGAGAAGCCTGGTGGTCGATGCGTGCTAATGAGCTGGAAGCAGCAGCTGCATCTGGTAACTGCCGGAAGCTCTTCCAGCTCATCCGAGCCACTGGCAGCAAGAAGTCTGGTGTGAGTGAAACAATCTGCGAGGATGATGGGATGTCAATCACTAACATCCATCGACGTCTTGGACGGTGGGCAGAATTTTTCGAAGGGCAGTTCAACTGGCCTGCTGCTCCGGCAACATCGGTCAGACTGTCCTGCCCTCCACGGCCGGTGACGACTGATCCACCAAACGAGGAGGAAGTCCGCAAGGAACTCCAACTCTTGAAGCGCTACAAATCACCTGGCCCAGATGACTTACCTCCGGCTCTTTTTAAAGATGGTGGTGACTTTCTGACTAAGGAATTGACGACGTTGTTTACCAAGGTTTGGGAACTAGAGAGTGTACCAACGTCATGGAATGAGTCGATAGTTGTCTCTATCTTTAAAAAGGGTTCACGTCGTTCCTGTAACAACTATCGGGGGATAAGTCTACTTCCGACTGTGTCCAAGCTATTGGCTTCCGTCATACTTCGTAGGTTGTTCAAAACTCGAGAAAGATTGACTCGCGAGGAGCAGGCTGGGTTTCGTTCTGGTCCAGGATGTATTGATCATATCTTCACCCTCCGCCAAATGTTAGAACACCGCCATACTTTTCGAAGGCCAACAATCGTAGTGTTTCTTGACATCAGGGCTGCCTTCGATTCGTTGGATAGGACTGTTCTCTGGGATTGTCTATTGAAGAAGGGTGTGCCTGAGAAGTTTATTAACATCCTAAAAGCCTTATATACAAACACCTCAGGCAGAGTGAGGGCATACAACCACCTCTCTCCATTGTTCCATTCGAGCAGTGGGGTTAGGCAGGGTTGCCCAATCTTAACATTCCTCTTCAACTTTGCCATCGATGACATTCTGGAAACAGCTCTGATGGATGTAAGTAATGGTTGTGTGGATCTGTTGCCTGGAGAAAGACTTCTCGACCTTGAGTATGCGGATGATATTGTCTTACTGTGCGATAATGCCCAAGCCATGCAATCCGCACTTAATCAGTTGGCAATCAGTGTCCGTAGGTATGGTATGTGCTTTGCACCTTCGAAGTGCAAAGTACTTCTACAAGACTGGCAGGATTCTAATCCTGTACTCACCCTGGATGGTGAGCAGATAGACGTAGTCGAGAAGTTCGTGTATCTGGGTAGCTGCATAAGTGCTGGTGGGGGTGTGAGTGATGAGATCAATGTACGTGTAGTGAAAGCCAGAGCGGCTTATGCCAATCTGGGCCATCTTTGGTGCCTTCGTGATGTCAGTCTGGCTGTAAAAGGTCGGATCTACAACGCGTCGGTGAGAGCAGTTCTGCTCTATGCTTGTGAAACCTGGCCTCTCCGAGTTGAGGACGTTAGACGACTCTCTGTGTTCGATCATCGCTGTCTCCGAAGGATTGCTGACATTCAGTGGCAACACCATGTCAGTAATGCAGAGGTTCGGCATCGTGTGTTCGGGCACAAAGATGATAACTCAATTGGTGTCACCATCTTGAAACACTGACTTCGGTGGCTTGGACATGTTCTCCGAATGTCGTCCCAGAGAATTCCACGTCGTGCATTATTTGCCGTCTCTGGGACTGGTTGGAAGAAGCGGAGAGGTGGTCAGTGCATGACATGGTGTCGTGGCATGAAAGAAAGCTGCAAAGGACTGGCTTGTGTTGGTCCTTCACGACTCCATGGTTGGGGTCCGAGAGATGGTGCTACACAGTGGCTAGAGACGTTATCAGATATGGCTCAGAATAGAAGCCAGTGGCGATCATGCTGTAACCTTCTTTTACTTTCTTCATAAAAAGTGGTTGTGTCTCCTTTACCTGAAAGATTTCTTCTGATTGTACATTTTCGTTCCGTCGTTACTACCACACTACCTTACTCCGATCTCTTCGTCATTGTTCTCTTTTGTTTTGCGTTCCTTAGTTTTTTTTTATCTTCTTCTTTCTACTTCTCTTCGAATATTCATTGTTCTGTGTGGCGCATATATATTGGCGCTCTCTTGTACCAATATTTATGTGTTCAAATAAATAAATAAATAAATAAAATAAAATAGGAAATAATATTTGTACACAAATAAGCCCAAAAAGTGGCTGTAAATGTGGGAGGCAGTAGTTAATAAACTGAACATAGCTTAACAACCGAAATTCGTATAATAATAAATTATAGGTCAAAATAAAGCTTATAATAAGAGGAATATAAATATACATAGTATAATTGTTGAGTAGTTATACAATAAGAATATTTATAGAATATTAGTCCATGAATAGTCCTTGGAATTTACCTGTAATTTAATCTTCACCGGATATAACAGACATGAAACTATCAGTTTATAACATCTCAATAGTTCATCAATGCTCAGTCAACCGTAGTCAAGGAGGAGCATGGGATTAGCTTGATAGTAACAATTCATTTCTACAAGATAGATGTTGGTAATAGTGAAGTAAATAAACTAGTTAGATAGAGAGTATATACTAACAGCATAACGTACACGACCAGATCCAAAATAACATGGCTGATTATGCATATACCATTGGTTATTTTCGTTCGTGAGATCA